CTTAGGACGGGCTGTTTAGCATATCTTTGCATACTTCACTAGTAAGCTAAATCAGGGTGAGCGTAGGGAGATTTGTGGCTTAACTATCCCAGTTTTTTGTCCTTCTCATGTTCTTCCAGTGTTTGTGACAATCAGGTAGCTCCTCCCGACCTCTTCCTGTTTAACCAGGAGCACTCCCTGGCTTCAGAAGGGTGCGCAGCGCTGAGTTATTAACCACACTCTGCAGCTACTACAGCAAAGCCTTCAAAAATTCTGCACGCTCCAGGAGTAAAACCACTTCCTGAAACCCAACAGCTGCTCCTGTGCCCCAGAAGGAGCTCTCTGGGACCGGGGAACGTTGACTCCGAATACGGCGCTGGTGTTTTGGGGAGAGCAAGGTCCAGAATTCCTTCCTCCGAGGCCGAGCCGTGCCAGTCGGAGCTGAAAACAGCCGCGCCGACTCGTTGGAGTTTGCTACAACCCCTCCTTCGAGAGGAAGAGGAGGAAACGGATGTGCAGCGAGGTGTCCCTGGACTCTGCCACTTGCAAATCTTGCTTCTGCAAGGGTTGTGGTGCGCGATGTCACCATTAGTTTAGAATTTGTGGGGGGTGGGTGGAGACCTGTGGTTTGGGGCTTGCCACTCCATGGGCTGCAGCCCGACCTGCAGGAAAAGGCAGTTGGCGTCAGCTGTGTGCCGTGAGGGAGGCCATGTGCATCATCTGCTCAGGTTCTTCCAGCCTCCCTCGGCCACAACACTGCGTGCCTGGGTTTGAAGAGTTTCTGATTTTAGAGTTTAGGAAGGGCAGGCTACTTTCTTTCCATCCTTGTAATAGAAAACTCAGATTAAATGCAGAAATGTTACTCCTGTTGAAGAGTTTATTCAGGCTACGACAGCACTCCTCTTGCAGTAGCAACAAATCTTTTTTTCCTGCATGACTTCATGTTTGTAGCACCCAAAGCGTGCCGTGAACTTCAGAGCAACGTTTGAAGAGACAAAGACAAGCTAGCCTCCCAGAAGGTGCTGCAGGCTGAAGCTGGGCGTGATGTCAACGAAGCTGACAGTAGCAGCAGAAGGAAAAAGGCAGGGGGAGGAAAAAGTTCGGTTTGTGCCTTGTCTTTCTTCTGAGATGGGAACACCTTGAAGTTTGTCCCACAGGATTTTTCCGTGACTCCTGCCCATGAGGGAGCTTTGTGAAAGGCTTTAAATGAAGGTGGTGGTTTGACAAAGGAGCCTGGCGAGCGTGCGGATCCTGCGGTGTCCGCTGTGAAAGCCAGCGCTTGTTTTGCTGTCCCATGTTTGGGGCCAACAGCAGAACGCTGCCCTGCTGCCATCCAGCTGCCATCCAGCTGCAGGCAGCATCATCACTGGGATGTGGGCCGCTGGGGCCGCTGGGTGCTTCTAGTGTCAGATGGGTTTCTGAAATTACATTTCTGATTTCATTCTTTGTTTTTAAGTAAGGTAACCGCTGGCTGTATTTTAGTCTTTGTTCTGAAGATTTCTTCTTATTCAGGTTTGCTTTCAGGTACTGAATCCACTTCCTAGCTGCGCCTGTAGAACACCCAGTCTCTTCCAGTACCTAAAGGGGGCCTACAGGAAAGCTGGAGAGGGGCTTTGGACACAGGTGTGGAGTGACAGGACACGGGGCAATGGCTTTAAACTGAAAGAGGGGAGATTTCGATGGGATCTAAGGAAGAAATTTTTCCCTCTGAGGGTGCTGAGGCACTGGCACAGGTTGCCCAGAGAAGCTGTGGCTGCCCCATCCCTGGAAGTGTTCAAGGCCAGGTTGGATGGGGCTTTGGGCAACGTGGTGTAGTGGAAGGTGTCCCTGCCCATGGCAGGGGGTTGGAACTGGATGGTCTTTGAGGTCCCTTCCAACCCAAACCGTTCTGTGATTCTGTGTGCAGAACGTTTCTGTGCACATCGGGACGCAGAGTGGCATGGATGTCAATCGTTGCCTTTGAGCACCTCCTTCTGCTCCTCTTCCGCAGCGCTGGCTCTGAGCGTCCCAGCCTCTCCCCGGCTCCCCGGTCCTGCATGTCACCCTGGAAGACGCCGAGGAGCAGCACTGTGGTGCTTTGCCGTGGTAGAAGTCACCTCAGGGCCAAGGTAAAGCGAGGGCTAAAGCTTCTCCCTGGCTGCAGTCCCAAACCATAGATGTGTCCCCGTCACGAGGTCCCTTCTGACACGAGCCACCCTGGGATTATCAAGCTGTCCTCAAGCAGAACGGAAGCCTCACCAAGAACTGAAGAACTGCTGGTTCAGCTTGTTGCTTTAGGCAGTCTAAGATTAGATATAAGATTAGATATTTTTTCCTCAGTAACAGCTTTATTTCAAAAAATATGTCACGTGGGCTTTGCATCTACCCCTGAAAGTGCTGCTTCTCTGATAGAGATCAGTGTCAGTTGAACATCTCATTTTCATTTATTTCTTGATTTCTGAGCTTTCTCATCAGTGTTCTCCAACTATTCTGTCTTCAAAAATCTAGAAAAATGTTGGTTTTATTTGGGAGGAGAAGAGAAGAAATTTTAGCATAAGCCTTGATTCCATTCTCTTGGGCTTTAGGAAGCAAAACCAGACATAATAAGATTGAGTAAAAAACTTGAGTATTGATGATGAGAGAGATCATCATGCTTTAGTACCCGGTAAACCATGCTGTTGCCAAAAGCAGAGATTCCAATATTAAATATTTAATCATAAAACATATCACAAGGTTATCACTTCAGCGATGTCTTCTCAAGTGTCTCTGGATTCTTGCTCTCACTCAGGAACAAGCTGGAGAACGCTGTCGCATTTTATGCTAAGGATCGTCCTGGTTTCGCCCTAGAAACGTGGAAAACTTCTTCAGAATATTTGCTCAGATAGATTGTTATATTATTTTTTTCTTCTTCTTCAAAATGATTCCTTTAGTGGCCTTGGAAAATAAAAAGTAAATCACAACAGACTACATCTGCCTTTAAGTACAGAAGGAAGGCTTCAAAATAAATACGTAAAGGGTGACTGGCATGAGATGGAGCCAGGCTCTTCTCAGTGGCATCCAAGGACAGGACAAGGGGAAATGGATCTAAGCTGGAACATAGGAGGTTCTGCTTAAACGTGAGGAAGAATTTCTTCCCAGTAAGGGCACCAGAACACTGGGACAGGCTGCCCAGAGAGGTTGTGGAGTCTCCTTCTCTGGAGATGTTCCAAACCCGCCTGGACGCGTTCTTGTGGCATCTGATCTAGGTGGTCCTGCTCTGGCAGGGGGATTGGACTAGATGATCCTTTGAGGTCCCTTCCAATCCCTGACATTCTGGGATTCTGTGATCTAGGAGTGGGGATGTCAAGTCTGAAGGGGTTTCCTGAAACCTTTTTTTATTTATCTGTGGGATAAGGAGGAAGGATTGGGTGTCGGTGTCATTACTTGGACACCTCTGATTTCCAATTCACTCATCTCTCTTAATCCAGAGGGACTCACTAACCTCTCCCTAGTCTAACTCTTGGTACTTTAATCTTTGGGAATTCCAAAGGGCAAGACATAAACCTGTTGTAGATGCTTTTATAAGGAATAATAAATAATTGAAAGAATTCTTCTGTGTTCTTTCATGGCAAAGGGTTTGGCTTTCAATTGTCATGTGTGCTAATTAACCCCAGGGGAAAAAAAGCTACAAAAAAGTAGCCACCTGAAATATTTTGTAACTTAACACTGATTTGAGAGCTCTTTCCCAATTGTCCATGACTTTTAAATGCTTCTGGCTGTTGCTTTTTTACCTGGTAATTCCTGCCTGAGGGATAACCAGGCTTTTGTCCGTAGGGGAAGTAGACCACGTTCGACATCTCACTTTAAAATGGTTTCATTCCTGCCGGAGAAGGGAAACGAGCTCTTCTGACAGGTAGTTAAGAAATCCAACTTGTGAGTTTCAGGAATCGGAAGTAACACGAGTGAGGTTGGGAGTTGCTTCTACTGGCGGCCGAAATTTGAGCTCAAGTCACTCGACTGTTTGAAATAATTGATGACTCCAGAATGCACAGGACTCGGACTCGTGTGGCCGACTGTGGCTAAGAGGAATAGTGTCACCAAAAAATAACGTAGTTCAGAGGAAAAGGAACCCCTTTGAAAAGCTGAGCTGTCGTATCCGAGATTAATTATTGATGAAGGACCAACTTCTGAGGGAAATCTGAATTCAGGAGAGCGACAGAGTCTTTTGGTTTCATTCTGGAGGATGACGTGAGCGAAACTTCAGTTCTTGTTGGTGCTTCTGTGTTCTTCCCTTGCACGAGGATTGTTAAGGCTGCCTGGAACTCGTCCTCCTGCCATCAACCCCAAAGAGTCCGGTTGTAAGAGCTTGGCTGGAAGGCGTGAGTGCCTTCAAAGGCAAGAGTCAAGTCACAGCAACGCGTCCTGTGGACGGGAGTGGGAGCAGCAAACTCAGAATCAAAATTAGAATAGAATCATGGAATGGTTTGGGTTGGAAGGGACCTCAAAGACCATCCAGTTCCAACCCCCCTGCCATGGGCAGGGACACCTTCCACTACACCAGGTTGCCCAAAGCCCCATCCAGCCTGGCCTCGAACACTTCCAGGGATGGGGCAGCCCCAACTTCCTTAGACACACTGTGCCAGTGCCTCACCACCCTCAGAGGGAAGAATTTCTTCCTTAGATCCCATCGAAATCTCCCCTCTTTCAGTTTAAATCCGTTGCCCCGTGTCCTGTCACTACACACCCTTGTAAAAAGTCCCTCTCCAATAAATAAATGAATAAAACTGATGTAAAAAAGTCACTCACGGAATATCCTCAGTACCTGTGGCAGGATGAGGTTAAATCTGCAGGAGTCAGGGATGCGTTGGCGCTGCGGGGAATTGCGGTGCGATACGGCCGTGTGACAGGCCCCGGGTTCTCTCCGTCTCTGGACAGGTTTTCCCAAACCAGTAGGTGTTTTCCACGTTGCCTTCCGCCTTCGTGCTCACGACAGGAAGGAGAGTAGCAGAGGGACAGGCTCAGCCGTGCGGAATTCTGCTCACCCCCTTTGCTTTCCGTTGCAGTGGAAGATCGACGACAAGCCGGTAAAAATCGACAAATGGGACGGCTCAGCCGTGAAAAATTCTTTGGACGATTCTGCCAAAAAGGTGCGTTCTGCAGCCGCTGGTTTCTCCCTCTTAAACCCTTTTCCTTTTTCCGTACCCTAAATCCTTCCTGGCAGCGGTTTGTCAAATTTATGAAAAGCGCAAAACGAACTCGGCCGCGTGTTTCTCCCGCAGGTTCTCCTGGAGAAGTACAAGTACGTGGAAAATTTCCGTTTGATCGACGGTCGCCTCATCATCTGCACAATCTCGTGTCTCTTTGCCATTGTAGCTTTGATTTGGGATTACCTGCACCCTTTTCCCGAATCCAAACCCGTCCTTGCCTTTTGTGTCGTATCATATCCTTTACGCACCGTGTCTCGTTTGTACCAAAAAAGGGTTTCTTTTCCCCATGAGGCACAACAAAACCCTTCTCTGTGTTCCCGTTTTCGGGCCCGTGGTGTGGGGATCAGCTGATAATCAAACAGTTTTCATGTGATGGCAAAATTCCTGCCTGGCTGGGTTTAACACACCCAAATTTGGGTGATCTGTGGAAGCCTGGAGAGCGGTTGAGCTCCCGGCAGATCCCAGACACCGACTGCGCAGACTCTTCCGTTTAGGGGTGTTCATCTCAAATGGAAGATCAGCCCTTGCAAAGCTTTGGGGGTTTATTTTGGGGGTTGGTTATTGGTTTATTTTTTATTTTACCTGTAGCCTGGTTGCAGAGTCATCTGCTCTTTCCTAACAGGACAGATCAGGTACCAAGAGGGAAGAGGAAAGTGGAGGTCCTTCTTGCCAGCACCTCTGCTGAAGAGCAGCAGATGCTGCATTTGAAATCATAGAATCGTTTAGGTTGGAAGAGGCCTTGAAGATTGAGTCCAGCCGTTAACCCACCTCTGCCAAGTCCACCACTAAACCATCACCCTCAGCACCACATCTACACGTCTTCTCAATACCTCCAGGGATGATGACTCCACCGCTTCCCTGGGCAGCCTGTTCCAATGCTCCACAACCCTTTCAGGGAAGAAATTCTTCCTCATAACCCATCAAAACCTCCCTGGTGCAACTTGAGGCCGTTTCCTCTCATCCTGTCGGTTGTTACTTGGGAGAAGAGCCCGACCCCCACCTCACTACAGCCTCCTTTCAGGCAGTTGCAGAGAGCGAGAAGGTCTCCCCTCAGCCTCCTTCTCTCCAGGCTGAACACCCCCAGTGCCCTCAGCCGCTCCCCATCACACGTGTGCTCCAGACCCTTCACCAGCTCCGTTCCCCTTGTTTGGACACTCCTCCAGCACTTCCATGTCTTTCTTGTAGTGTTTTTGTTGTCTGTCACATCATGTCATGTAGTGTCCTTACTTCCACAACAGTCCTTCATCTCCAGTCCTTCATCCCATCCCCGACTGCTTTGTGTCCCCAACTGGGGTGCAGTGTCCAATGCCTGAGGTGGCTCTGGCAGTAGCTCTATTGCCTGGAGAGGTGGTAGATGCCTCATCCCTGGAAACATTCAAGGTCAGGTTGGACAGGGCTCAGAGCAACCTGATCTGGTTGAAGATGTCCCTGCCCATGGCAGGGGCGTTGGACTAAATGACCTTTAAAGGTCCCTTCCATCCCAAACCATTCTGTGATTCTATAATAGCAGAGGACATGATGGGATGATGGTGGGAAACCCTGAGGAGATCAAGCTGTGGGTGCTCCTTGAGATCTTCACCCCAAGTCTGGCCTTGCTCCATGTTGCCTTACCAAGGAGACAACAGCAGGAGCCGTGCGCTCCAAGGAGTGACCGGGAGCTGGGACAAATTTTGGAGGGGACTGCTGCAAATCGGAGTTTAAATGTTCAGATGTCAACTGTGTGCAGACATCAACTGTTAAATTTCCAGTTATTACAGCACAGCTGGAACTGGTTTTCCTCCTGTTTGGCCTCGGAGGGTCAGTGTGCCACTGATTTCCCAGCAGCTCCAGTAACAGGAGAAACACCCGTGAGGGTTTTACATCAGAAATGCGCGCGACAGGTGAGCGATGCTTTCCCAGAGCTGGCGACGGGCCCGTGTTCAAGGGCGGTTTTGATGGTACCAGCGAGGCAGCGTGAACTGGTAGCCTGGAAATTTCATTGCTGACCTGGGAGTCACCGTCCCACAAATGTCTGCATGACCGTGACAAGTCGTGTCGTTGTTCCAGGCTGTGGTTCTTCTGGTTGGCCTTCGGTGGGAACGTTGGGTAGTTAGAATTCTTTTAATTCCAAAAACGAGGAAGGTTAATGGCTTGATCTGTGATTAGGAGGAATGCACAGCGATTAATTCCGGGACCCCTTTGGTCGCAACGTTTTCCCGCTGTCTCCCAACAGAAGTTTCTCCAAAACTTTAGCAAAATAGTTGAAAACAATATTTCGTTGTCGTGGTTTCCACTTCATGGTTTCACAAACGGAGCGTTTTCGGTGGCCGGAGAAATCCCTTTCAGGATTTCAGGAAAGTTGTCGCCTTCCCCGCCGCTTCCAGGCGTTGATTAATGCTGTCGTGCAACAGCAAAGATTTAACGAAGCGCCCCAATTATTAGTTCACTTCTCATGCTAACGAGGCATCAGCCAAGCATCCTGTTTGGAGTGATGATGTCATGAGAGGTGTTTGAGGGCATCCAAGCAGTTTTTCTGCCTTATTTCCACTTTTAATTGCAAATTCTTCGTTTCCTTAACGCGTTTTGCACGTATTTTGTCATGATGGGGATCCTGACTATCTATACCTCCTACAAAGAAAAGAGCATTTTCCTCGTGGCTCACAGAAAAGACCCCGCAGGGATGGACCCCGACGACGTCTGGCAGCTCTCCTCCAGTCTCAAAAGGTACCGACATTCCGGCGGTGCGGTACCGGCACGCTTCGGTTCGCCCGGAACTACCGCGCGCTCCACCATTTCGGATGATTCCTAAACAAAACGGGGGGAAATATCCTGGTATCCATGCGATATGGGGGGGCTCCGCACCGGGGACGTGAGCCGTCTGCCAAGGATCGGCGGGATCTTTGCCGTGTCCCCGGCAACTCGTGATTAATATTTACTGGAAAATGGTCTTACTCAGAAGTAGGATGCGATGGGTTTGCTGGGCACCCACCGGTCTCATGGGTGCTGTTTCCATCCATATCTCTCCATAGGAAAACCCTAAATATGTTCCTTTCATTTTTTTGACACCGACAAATCTGTTTTGCTCCATCAAAGTCGACGTCCCGACGTCGTCGGGAGCGGTGCCGAGCGGTTCTCTGCCGCAAACGTTCACGTTTCGCTTCTCTTTAAATGGTGGGGGGGGGGGGAATTAATCACAAAGAGTATAAAAAATCTTTAATTGCGTTGTAATTAACGCATGTTGCAGGTGTTAGCGTCCATGTGGGGTGCTGGGTGGGGGGACCTCCGCTCCTGGGAGGTCCCTTTACACGGATGAGGATTTCTCCTTGGATTTTCCGTCTGGGCTGAGCCGGGCGTAAGGAATCCCGCTGGGAAATCTCTGCCCTTCCCGCAGGTTTGACGACAAGTACACCCTGAAGCTGACTTTCATCAGCGGGAGAACCAAACAGCAGAGGGAGGCCGAGTTCACCAAATCCGTGGCGAAATTCTTCGACGACAACGGGACGTTGGTCATGGAGGCCTACGAGCCGGAGGTGTCCAAGCTCCACGATAGTCTGGCCCTGGAGAGGAAAACCAAATGATTTCCCGATCCCGCCTGCCTCCTGGGAACGTGCTCAATTAACACCAATAAATCAAGTAGCAAAGAAAGTCAATGACGGCCTCTGCTTTTGTCCTGAAATCCTCTTCCCTTTGGGACGAGCGGGATTTTTTCATCTCGGAGCCGAAATTTTTTTTGGAATTACAGAAAACCTCCATCTGGGAACCCACCTGTGTGCTTCTGCCCCAGAGCGTGGCGGAGGGTTTGCCCGCGGTGGGGGGCTGCTCCGGCTGCCTCCGGTGTTACCGAACAGCTCCGTGCCCGGTAGCGGCCGAGGGGGGAGTTTCACCATTTCCGTGTGACCAACGTCCCCGTTCCATTTTGCGTTAGGAATTCAGGACAAAAAATCCTTCTTTATTTTTGTATTTGTCTAACTGGGGGTACGGGATTGTTTTATATATAAAAGCCTTTTGGGGAGAGGGGGGGAAACAAAAAAAAAAGGGGGGGAAACAAATCCGTGGCTCCTGTATTTTGGCCACGAAGCTTCTCTACATGAAAAATTCCATAAAAAATGGAAGGCAAAGGGTTTTTCCGAGCTGTGCCCATCCCCGTTTCCCCTT